CCCCCCCCCCCCCAAAAAAAAAAAAAAAAAAAAAAGTAAAAGACGAAAAAGGAGAGCTGACAACATCCAGAATGTACAGAATAGCATACTTTCTACAACAATCATAACTGAATAGCTCCCTAAAGCTGAAGCAATGTATACTCGCAAGTTAATACCTAAAATTACAAGAATTAATTTCAAGTACTGAATAGTTTTGAAAAGTTACAACTCAAATTTCAAGAAAGCATTTCAGCTAGGTATTCTTTTTCATAGTTAACCTATAGTATCTATATAATAGTTTTTGTTAAATAATATTAATGTGAAGCTGAGTTATTTAAATAAGTTCCTGAGTGGGGTGCTTTATTAGGGTTGAGAAGGATATGAACGATTTTATATCTATGCTTCATAACCACATTAACTAGAGCTTACCTTCCCAGGTTTCAATATCTGGGAGAGGAATTGAGGAGAAGTTATCAGCTAAAAGAGACAAAAGTCATATGTTATTTGGTGGGACCAAAATATTGCAGCATACTCCAGATAAGGTAGTTTTTCTTGGAAGAAATTTGGTGGCTTTAGCTTTGATCTTGTGAATATTCTCATTTTTATGATTTATTTGGTGGAACAGACCTTTCCTCTTAGAACCCCTGATGGTGGCTGCCTAGCAGTTGTTTTGAGGACTGGGTTCGAAACAAGTCAAGGGAAACTAATGCGCACAATTTTATTTTCTACAGAGAGGGTAACTAATTTGACATTTATTGGTTTGCAACTGTGATGAAATTTGTACTATGCTTATTGTCCAAGATACGATAATATATGTGTATTTACCTTCTGCTATAATATATGTGTATTTACCTTCTGCTCCAATTGTAGGTTACAGCTAACAGTTGGGAAAGTGGCCTATTTATTATGTTCTTAGTTGTATTTGCCGTTATAGCTGCTGGTTACGTACTTGTAAAGGTAAGGTGACATACTTTTCTGTGCTCAAGTTGTAGATCTCAATGATATAGGGTGAAGTTAGTTGATTCGATGCAGGGATTGGAAGATCCCACGAGAAGCAAGTACAAGCTTTTCCTTAGTTGCTCACTTATAATCACTTCTGTAATTCCTCCTGAACTACCAATGGAACTGTCAATAGCCGTTAATACATCATTAATTGCTCTGGCGCGTCGGGGAATATTTTGTACAGAGCCCTTTCGAATACCATTTGCTGGAAAGGTAGTTTGCCTCTGCCTATCTAGTGAATTTTCACTCTGTTTTTGCAATTAAGTCCACTTCAAACTCTTTTCTTATTTATACAATGAGATCGTTAATTTATCTTCGGATCATATACATGATATTTTTATTCATTGTTTTATATTTCCAACCTTTGACGCATTAACTGGTAAGACAACTTTCTATCGGTTGTCATGCCATTACAAAAATATAAAGCTTCCATTGGGAAATATCTTATTTTGATAAGAAACCAAAACTATCATTAATGAAAGAAGAATTACAAATATGGGTGGTAAATACCATAAATACAAAGGAGAGTGGAAACCATACACCAAGAGTCATTGAAAAGCATGATCTCCAATTTTTTTTTATGGTTTTACCTGTGTTGTTGAAAGTTCATGTTAACTTCAAATTTCTTATAAAACAATATTGACTGCACATCCCCAAAGAAGCTGGTCAATGGCGTTGGGCATGGATGAGTGGTGCGACCAACTGATATTAAATTGTTGGAAGAGGAGAGACGATAGATTCTAAGTCGCTTGGTAGTGTAAAAACAGATTGTTGCGCTCCTATGAGTTCTTTGTGCAAGGCAGGCCTATAGAAGAAAAGAGTTATACTAACCACGATGAGCAATTAGTGCTATGTATAAATGGTTTAAAGGGACTGAGTTGAGTTTAAGTTCGGGTGATCACTTACCTAGGATTTAACACACTGTGTTACCCTTTTTTTCTTTTCTTTTGAATAAGAAACGATGAAACACTTCATTCCACTAAACCAACAACCTAAAGGACAAAGGGACAAGGATCCCTCCCCAAACCAAAGGATTTACAAGAAGAAGACCGTCCAATCTAGGTTGACAAGGAGAGTAGTGTAATTACAAAATTTTGTGTTGGTTGCCTCATTAGAGGCTGTAAACTGTACAAAACCACAAAAGTACTTCTTTTTATAAAAAAATTGAACTTATTTGTGAGTTACCTTGGCAATTAAATGTATTAAGGTTCGGTGGGTATTCCATGGGAATTGTCAAGGTGCATGCAATCTAGTCCAAAAACTCAAGGATTTAAATGCTTTGTAAAATTGATTAAGAATAGAGCTCTTATTTACAAGGAATGTTATGTTGGAGCCACAATGGTGATAACACAGTTGCGAACAGTCTCTATTTTCTATATATGAGGAATATTAGTTGGGAAACGTTACGAGGAGTATTATTAAGATGCTTTTTTATTTTTTATAGGAACTGTAAATTTTCATTGATTGAATGAAATTACAGAAATATGAGATCCTATCTAATGGATTATAAACAAACATCTCCAATTGGTTATTAGAGAAGATGAACTATAGTTACCAAGGGAGCGTTCAATTTATACCAAGTGATAAAAGGAAAAATAGATGTAAGAAAAGATTGGGTGTTTATTTCCTGAATGAAATTCAGCCAAAGGATTATTCATATTAGTATCAACCAAAGGATTATTAATATCAGTATTATTAAGATACTATCTGTGCATGTTTGTCATTAGACATTACGTTAGTGAGGGAGTTGGTTATAAATGGGGAGGTAAAATTTGGGGAAGTTTTGGCCTCTCGAAGTGCTTGGATATTGTAATATCTTCTTTCTTTATTTTGTAATACAATTTCAATGTTACTTGTTTACTTCTATTTTTGAAGACCCGGGTCCTATCAAGGACTTGGAGTTTGATGCAGTTTATTATGGCTTTTCCTTGGTGTTTTAACTGACTTTGGACGGTTGAATGTCCTAGACTTGTTTGTGATTATCTTTAAGTTTACATCTAGTCGCCAACAATTGGGGCTGCTTGTAGTTTTTATTGTTTTTTTAATATTATTTTGTAGATCTGATATTGATTTTGGTTCTGGCTTTGTGTTGATGTATTGCCTGTTTTTTTAATATTATTTTGTAGATCTGATATTGATTTTGGTTCTGGCTTTGTGTTGATGTATTGCCTTTTTAGAGCTGTAATACATAAATCTGTGTTGCGTAATTTCGTTTTTGTTCTGTTTTTGTTGGGTTGGCATGTTAGTATCTCTCTATGTGTGTATTTGTAATTAATCTTTTTTATTGTTTTTTTTTTCTGCAGGTTGATATTTGTTGTTTCGATAAAACAGGAACATTGACATCAGATGACATGGTTTGTTCATATTGAACTCAACATACGGAAATAGTTATCCATTATGTAATTCTATTGAAGATGTTTATTCTTCACTATCTGGGCATCTGTAGGAGTTTCGAGGAGTAGTTGGTGTGAGTGATAAGGAGGATTTGGAAACTGACATGACTAGTGTGTCTTTGCGCACAGTTGAAATTCTGGCTTCTTGCCATGCATTGGTGTTTGTGGACAACAAGTTGGTAAGCTAGCTTCGTTCTTGAATTCTTGATATATCTATCCATGAAAAGAAAAGTTTGCGTGAATATGCTTCTTACTAAATATTGCGCATGGAACACTGTATTTGGTTTTCACTTTTCAACTGGGTGGGAATCTCTGCTTGAAAAGGTTGTTATTAATGGGGTTGATTTGACATTATCTCATGAAACACGTTGCCTTGGACATCCGAACCTTTACTTTGCTAGCACTTGTTGGATATACATTTGGAGCAAGTGTATTTAAACATTTATTCCAATTTTGAAACCGCTCCTGCTACCTTTGACCAAATGCATTCCCTCTATGTTGGAGTGGCCTTGGCCCGGGTGTTTCGTTCTAGGCCTCTCTTAGTGGATTATTATTATTATTATTATTATTTCTTACTCTTTTAAGAATTTGAACAAATAACGTAAATAACTCGAACTATCCCAACCCAAATACTTCATGGTTGAGGAGGTTGTGTGACAGAGATTATCGTTTCTATGTTCACAGAAATCGTGAATATAAATTCTATATACAAGCAGGACCATCCAATCCCTCTCGAAAGAAAATGTTGAAAACTAAATAACCCGAACTATCCCAAACCAAAAACTTTCACATAATAATGGTTTCCAAGTTTCTGTGAAGGGGGATTCGATGGTCCTGCTTGCATATAGTACCTTTCAGATATATATTCATATGCAGACTTAGTTAAAGGGTATTTATTTGTTTGCACGTGTCAAAATATATTCTTTTTTTTTTTTTAATTTTTAAATTCATTCAACATTCATATTAAAGTTACATCTGGGAACATTACTTTATCTGTTCTCACTTTTCGATAGGTGGGGGATCCTCTTGAAAAGGCTGCACTCAAGGGAGTTGATTGGGCTTACAAATCTGATGAGAAAGCGATTCCCAGAAAGTATGTTCCCCTCCTTTCTTTTAAGGTTCCACAAACATATGAATTTATGTGTCGATGTACTTATATATGTAAATTATAATGTAGAAAGATTCCTTAAATTGATTGAAGTTTTAGTTTAAATCTGATATCCTATGGAAGATTATCAAATTTATAACTTAAATTTTATGTTTACATGTATTATCTCAGCATGTAAAAAGTTGCACGTTGGGCCATGGTCAAACAGTCAACGATAAGATACAAATTTAGATTTGTTTGAGGTTATAAATTGTTTTTTTTGTTCACCTCCCTCAAATGTTAATACCCAAGCTTGCTAATACTGAAAGAGGTAGACTTACTCTCATCCAGTCCATTTGTTTCTCAACTTACTTTTTCTCTTTGTTTAGGGTCCCCATGATGGTTAGTAAGTCTTAGTAGAAGCTTTAGATATACACATAAGTGGCAATGTACTTGTTTTTAACTCTCTCTCTTCCGTACACAAACACGCCATGCCAAATTTCATAACATAGACATTTGAGTGAAACTACATAGACATTTCCACGGAAGGTAGATGCTACGATTGTACTTGGTGCAATCTTTATGCCCGTGCCTTTACTTTTTAGAACAGTCATCCATGCACTTTGAATTCACGTTCAATGTTACTTAAGCATTTTATCTTATCCTCTTCATTCTTCATTACATATTTTGGGTTATCAAAAAAAAAAAAAGCTCCTGCTTTAAGTTTTGTGCATCAGCAACTGCTCTTTCTGTTTTTCTCTAGGTGAGACATTTAGTTCTTATAGTCATCTAACTCTGCATAGCTATGCATTTTTCTTTATTTTCATTGTAGAATTTGTTTTTAATTAATTGCAGGGGAAGTGGGCACGCTGTCCAGATTGTTCAGAGGCACCACTTTGCTTCACATTTGAAGAGAATGGCAGTTGTTGTACGCCTTCAAGAGGAATTTCTTGCATTTGTGAAGGTCTGATTGTTTCCTCTTCATGTCCATCATACGTGTTAGACTTATTTATTTCTAGTTACCTTGTTTCACGAGTAAGACTTTTTTTCCCTTTCCTTTTTGGGATGAAGAACCATACTTTCATTGAGAATCTGAAAGATATACAATGGGTAACTGAAAAAAAAAACCAGCACAACCAATCTTTTAAATGAGGCTAGATTCTTTTACTTATTTATTTTTTTTAAAAGAAACCAACTTTCATGAAATTGAATGAAGGCATAAATAAAGGGGCTTTGAAAAAGAATGGCCCAAATAAACGACAACTGAGACGAAACAGAACAAAAGCCATGCCAATATAACTAGCGACTTTCTTTCAACTGCCCTAATTGAAGTTAAGAAGAACATTTATGACTTAATTCCAGTAGAAATTGTTGTGAAGGATGGTAGTATTAGAAGTTTCTCTCTCTGTTTTGGTGATATAGTTTCTGTTGATACTCCAAGTTCATGGTGATTTATCATTCAAAGACTTTTCAAATTCGGTGGAAGATGAATTTATTTTGTTGTATAAAGATAAGTTGAACGAAGTAGCTGTTGGTTCTAAGGGACCCTTAGTGCATGATCCGCTTCTTAATTTGAAAGACCCAAATGCCTTAAAAATCATTCATTCCACTGATCATGATGGAATTATTGTTGGGCAGTCTTAATGTGGTTGATCCTCTCTCTTTATTGATGAAACATTTCAACAAGAAGAGCCACAAGAAGAATAGAACCTCGGGAAGACGAAGAGAAACCCCACTTATCCATATGTTCTAATTTTGTATGCATCAACTACTTGGTGTATGCTAGATAGATCATTTTGTAATGATATGCTTAGCAATATTTGTGTTAATTGGAGGGGTTTTTTGAAACCCCATTATTCTTGGAGGACTTCCTCCCTTTTAGTATGTTTCATTTTATTAATGAAATTTATGGATTTAATAAAAAGAGAATAAAAGGTAAAATTACAAGAAAACTGCTCTAGTTGTTAAGAATAGAATATAAAAGATCAACTACAAATCTCTTAGAAAGCTCATAGAGAGCCAGGGAAATGGTCGCTCCCTAAACCTCCTTCCCAGGCTTCTTAAACCCATTAAGACCCTCCTATTTCTCTTGTGCCATAAAATTTAGAAAAGCTCGCTTGCCAAAGTTCAATTAGAGGCTAGAATGAACAGATGTGGTGTAGCAATTTGATTATATTGAAATCGATTTTGGTGGATAATTGTATGAATTCTTTGTTTCATAGTTGTATTAACTTTCATGAAGTATGAACACATTAAGTGTTTGAGTTCTTCACGAAACTGGTAAGATATGCACATAGATTTGCATCAAGAATGTAATTTGGGAACGCAAGGATGAAACGAAAGAATGATGTTATTGTTATTTAATTTCAGACATGTTAGGACATGCTAGGGACACATCTAGCATACATTGGCCTGAATATAAGTATTTAGATTCTAGCACCAGAGTTACATGTCGAGTTTGTTATTTGCCATGCAAATAATTGTTTTAACCTCCCCAGTTTAAATAAACTTGGTCTCTTCATTTCAGGGTGCCCCCGAAACCATCCAGGAGAGGCTCACGGATATACCTTCATTTTATGTTGAGACGTATAAGAAGTATACACGACAAGGTTCCCGTGTCCTTGCTCTTGCTTACAAATCACTTCCAGACATGACAGTAAGATATTTGTCCCATCACCCCCTTCCTCCTTCCACCTTCCACATCTATGCATAAATTTAAAATGACCATTTACTATTTTGGATGTTTTCGCCAACATCATCGTTGCCATTTTAGTTGTCCCTGTTATTGTCACAGTTGACAGTTTCATTTTTTTCTTAGGGTTATTTTTCCAACTGTGATTTTCACGATCACCATCTTTGTCTCGGAAACATGGGCACTCTATTTGAGCACATTGTTGTTTATCCGCACAAGCATGTTTGAACATACACTGGAGACATGCTGGACGTGTGATTGAAATCTCTGATTTTTTAAATAACTCGTAAAATCTAGAACATGTTAAGGCCATATTTGAACATGAAGGGGAATATATTGGGTGACACATGCAACAGAGAAAATGAACAAAACTATTCATAGAAACGTTAGAAAAAGAAAAGTCTTCTTTTAATCGAGTGAAATTATTCACGTAAGGAACTTAGATTTAATGTAAGGAAGGATGAAAATCTATTGGAACTGAACAATAAATATTTAAATAAATAAAAAACGAAGAAAATAATTATATTTCTATTAATAAATCTGCGTAAAAGTAATTTTTCACTGTTCAGATCAAGTTTTTTGTGTTTTTCCCCTTTGTAAAGATGTATATTTTGAGGGGAATTGCTCTTATTTTGTTGTTAAATAACATTTTGTCCAAGAAGATACACACTTTATTTAACATTATTTAAAGTTGCTTTAGATTGAGTAGATGAAGATGGAAGTTCTGTAGTTTATTGAAGTATTAATAGGTGGAAAAGTATATTAAAATATATTTCATTGAAAATGCCCATGACCTAACTTCTTAGAAAATGTTATATCTCATTGTCTGGATTTTCTCATGTTTGTGTCCATGTTCCTTGGATCATTGTCATTGTCTTCTTTATCGCTGTCATTGTCATCAATATTATGTACTAATTGAAATGGAATGTACATAAATCTGTAATTTCATTATATAAATGCTTCATTTACCTGGCTGGTTTCTATTTCTTTCCAATATTGTAGGTTAGTGAAGCTAGAGCCCTGGATAGGGACGTGGTGGAGAATGACCTTACATTTGCAGGTTTTGCGGTAATCAGGGACTTCCTCTCTCTTGTTTCATTTTTAATATCTGATTTTAATCATTTGGAATGCCACTCGTTCTTTTGTCCACCCATAATTGATTCTCCATTCTTACGAAATATGCAGCTTGCAATTAGAGCTATTTTTTCTGTTTCTCTTTAGTTTCTGTTCTCTTTTGTTTAATGTTCATTAATTACATTCCAGGTGTTCAATTGTCCAATTAGAGCAGATTCGGCGACAATATTATCTGAGCTTAAAGGATCATCCCATGACTTGGTACAGTTTATCCAGCCTAATTATTTCCACTTAATTGTGACTAATAGAAAATACTTGTTGGTTTACTAAATCAGTGAGGTTTAAGAGCTTCATTATCGATTTTGTAAGGAACTAATCTTCTTTCCATTTTGCATTTTATGCATCTATGATGAGAGGTTGTAGTATGAATTAATCAGTACCAGTGGATTTGTTCTGTTGTGAAACTGACTATGTTCTTTAGTTTCTGTTTTCCGAAGTGAAAGACTCTTATTCTTCGAAAATCAGATTTTCTGGATTAAGCATCTAACTGGATGAACAAGACATTACGAAAACTATAAATTTAGGAAAATATACTCAACTATTAGTTCAGATATTCTCAATAGAATCTGAATGTCAAACCACGGTAAGTTATGACAGAGCTACTCTAAGTGTAGTCTTAATTGATCTGATGGTACAAAGATTCAACTCAAATTTGGAAGTCCACGTCCATTGAAATTTTTAATATCATCTGGACTCTAACCATGGCCGTAAGAATTTTCTTCGATCCCTGAAACCTCTATTTACCTCGTTTGGTCTCTTTTGTGTATCATGTAACTGCAAACTCGATTGATTACTCAAGGCAGTCTTGTAGGCCTCGTCATGTCTTATAGGATTCTGCCATCTGCTTAGTAATTTTTTCCTATATTTGCAACCTACCTATCATTCTTTATGGATGTCGGTCACTACCTTTATGTAATTTTGATCTCGGTCTTGTTTTTTTACATTGGAGTCTTTTCCTTAACAAGTATGGACTCCCGTTTTTTCGGACCTATTGGACCTATTTCTTTCTATATGCCCTTGTATTCCTACATCTTCTCCATAAAAGTTTGGTTCCTTACAAAAAAAAATATATATATTCCATATTTTTTAATAAGTCGATGAAAATAAATAATTTGAAATTGTTCGATCTTCAATCCCTTTCTGTATCATTCTGAAGCAAGTTTCTGGAGTGAAATACATGCTTTTCTGTTGTATCAGGTAATGATTACTGGTGACCAAGCTTTAACAGCATGCCACGTAGCTAGCCAAGTTCATATTACCTCAAAGCAGATTTTAATTCTCAATTCAAAGAAGGGAACTGAGGAGTATGAATGGCTCTCCCCAGATGAGTTACAGACAGTTCCCTACAGGTGAATTTTACGAGTATTTAAAGTCCTCACTTTGCTTCTACTTTTTTTCCCATGCTTCTGAACCGTGCTGGTTTACATCTTTTTCCCACATATGTTAGTGTTTACATTTACATGATTTCTTTATCCTCATATATATTTCGTCAGAGAGAAAGAGGTGGGAGATTTGTCAGAGATGTATGATCTGTGTATTGGAGGTGACTGCATCGAAATGCTACATCGCACCTTCACTGTGCTGGATGTTATTCCATACGTTAAGGTTCTCGATCTCTCTTTTGTAAGAATATTGTTTCTTGCAATGATGCCAACTTGATGCCGTATATCTGAACTGGTCTATCAGGTTTTTGCAAGAGTTGCTCCTGAGCAGAAAGAACTCATATTGACCACTTTTAAAACAGTAGGAAGAATGACGTTGATGTGTGGGGATGGAACGAACGATGTTGGTGCTTTGAAACAGGTCTTGTCTTAAGATGTTTATCGACTTACATTTTAGGGCGTTAACAATTTTAATGTGGAGCAGCAGAAAGATTTTGTGCTAGAACATTTAACTTGGATGTTTGAGATGAATTCCTTTTCTATATAGCATTTATAATTCCCTTCCTTGTTTATCAGGCCCATGTAGGAATTGCTCTCCTGAACGCTGTCCCTCCTCAAAGTGGCAACTCTTCTTCAGAAGCATCTAAAGATGACGCTGCTCGGTCTGCAAAGTCGAAGAAATCTAAGCTTTCATCCGAAGCATCAGGAAAACCACTTCTAGCTGGAGAAGGTTCTTCAAAAAGCAAAGGTAGTGCAAAACTGGATTCTGCTACTGAGCAAGCTAGTAACCGTGCACGGACACCTGCCGAGATGCAAAGACAGAAGCTAAAGAAACTTATGGATGAGTTAAATGAAGAGGGTGATGGGCGCTCCGCCCCTATTGTCAAGCTTGGAGATGCATCCATGGCATCACCATTCACAGCAAAGCATGCTTCTGTTGCCCCGACTACGGACATTATTCGCCAAGGTCGAAGTACTCTGGTGACAACTCTTCAGATGTTTAAAATACTCGGTCTCAACTGCCTCGCTACCGCCTATGTACTCAGTGTTATGTATTTGGACGGTGTCAAGCTAGGCGATGTTCAAGCGACCATCAGTGGAGTATTCACAGCAGCCTTCTTTCTGTTCATCTCACATGCGCGCCCCCTTCCAACACTTTCAGCTGAACGCCCCCATCCACACATCTTTTGTTCTTATGTTCTCCTTTCTCTGTTAGGCCAATTTGCAATCCACTTATTTTTCTTGATGTCTTCAGTGAAAGAAGCCGAAAAGCACATGCCTGATGAATGTATAGAGCCAGATTCAGACTTTCATCCCAACTTGGTTAACACAGTTTCATACATGGTAAGCATGATGCTTCAGGTGGCAACCTTTGCTGTAAACTACATGGGTCATCCCTTCAACCAGAGCGTATCCGAAAACAAGCCATTCCTATACGCTCTCTTGGCTGCGGTTGGTTTCTTCACCGTCATTACCTCGGATTTGTTCAGAGATCTCAATGACTGGCTGAAACTCGTTCCACTGCCTGCGGGATTGAGGGATAAGCTTCTAGCTTGGGCACTTCTTATGTTCTTGTGCTGTTACTCCTGGGAAAGACTATTGAGATGGATGTTCCCAGGTAAAATCCCGGCATGGCGAAAGCGACAACGACTGGCGGCTGCGAATCTGGAGAAGAAGAAACAGCTGTGAGTGAATTTTTTTTTGTAGTAGAATGGGATTGAGCCCATGTATTGTAGCAATAGAAAGAAGGATATGATGATTTATATTTGCCACTGAGGCCTTACTAAGTGGTGGAATTTTGTCAAAATTTCTTATAAAATTTAGGTGTAGACTCTGTTTATGGGTAGTCTTAAACTGACAACTTTTGGTTGGAATGATGTTTTTTTCCAAATTCAAACGATGTAAATGACACAATTAGTCATCGTTGCTTTATCCGAATCTAATGAATTGGTCCTACCGAGTTTGATGCTACATTACGTGCATTGTTACTGTTACTGTCGTTAGTCTTATAGTTTTAAAGCAGATCTATTAATAATAGTTTTCTCATTCTTATAAGATTTGTTTTGTTCTCATCTTCAACCGATGAGATCTCACAATCCACTGCCTTGGGGGGCCGGCGTTTTCGCTAACACACCACCCGGTGTCTGGCTTTAGTACTATTTGTAACAGTTTAAGCTCACTACTAGCATATATTGTCCACACTCTTTAGAAGGAATGTTTTGTTTCCCTCTTCAACTAATGTGAGATCTCACAACACTTGAGTTAACTAGACATAACCCCAATAGTACAAAACTATCAACTTAAGTGTAGTTTAATTGATATAAACCTTATATGATTATATGTTCGTGTTACTATCAACTTAAGTGTAGTTTAATTGATATAAACCTTATATGATTATATGTTCGTGTTTTCACGCGACAAATAAGAATAAAAAAAAAAAATCCACTTGTTGAATTTTTTTTTCTTGGATTCTATTTTCGCATTATCGTCCACCAATTCTAATAAAAATGGTAAATTTTTATAAAATAAAAAATTTGCACAAAAATAATGTTGACAAATGCACAAATTAAACCACTTATTAACCATTTCAAAACTCATAATTTTGAACAAAAATTTTTGCTTTAATTTTGTGTGTCTCTAAATTTTATTAATTCATATCATATATATGTTTTTATATTCAAACATTTATATGATACTTTGAGTGATAACTCATTAAAAAATTAAAATTAATAGTACTTTTTAAAATTAAAAGATAAAATGTAACAATTATAGATGTAATTTGATAAAATTAAAAATTTAGAATGAAAAGTGATTTAAGGGACAAATTTTCAATTTTTTTTAAACAAGTAATTATAAAGGAAATTAATTTAGAAATGAAATATTAGCCCTAATTATAAAATATTGGACTTCAATCCGAAAATATGAGATTGTTGTAATGTAACAAAATGGAAACCCTAATTTATGAATTGAGACTCGAGAGACCTAAAGGGCTATAAGGAACCAAATCGAACAAAGGTGAAGTGCTGGTGAAAATGGCGTGGAGACGGGCTGCATCAATCTTTGTTCTTTTACATATTGGTCTCTCTTTTCTTAGCTTTTGAGCCAAAATCAACCGCGCTGATCTTCGCTTTCTCTCCCGTTTAATTTGTCTCTCAACGAACTGGCAGCTGATCGTTAACTTATTGCAGAAGCTGTGGAAGAAGTTTGAATTATTGAAGAAATTTGTTTCGCCATTCTCCCCTTTATTTTTATCCTATTGGGTATTCTCTATCAGCTCCTCATATTAATTTCTTTGTTTTCTTGATGGGGTTTTGGTTATGGATTGCCAATAATGCACATAACTTGTTCGGATTCATGGCTTCTTCCATTTGTTACTCGCTTTTGATATTTGAAATGTTCGATAGAAGGAATTATGTATTGCCTGCTAACTGTTCGACAAAATGCCTCATAGAGGTTGAATCTGTATGTGTGTTCTTCCGTGATGAATTTAAGCCTTCTCCAGCGTACCCGATGTTTATTTAGTAGTTTAATCCGTTTATTTACTCCTGAGATACTTCATGTGATTTGGGTGTTCATAGGAGTTGTAATCGGGTTCTTTCAGTACAAAAGCGGGGTTGGCTAGTAGAAGGAGGAAAAGATGTTGAAACACTTGCTTGGAAACATGCGGAAACATGCGGTTTGTGCATGTGAAGTAAACAGGGCCAGGCCTTATTTGTTTGTGCCAACAAGTGACTTTCATAAGGGGGAGGTAAGAATTTCTTCCCTTAGTTATCTATATGTTTGTTTTTAAATGTATATATTATTTTTTTCTAATAAGCAAAACCTCCAAAATAAGATACTACACACAATACATCTTCAAAATCACAATATTTCACTCTTTGCATAATTTACATAATGAGGTAACATAGACTTTCACCAAAAAGGAATTTTACCCAGTAGTAATTTACTGGATTGAATAGTTTTGAAAAGCTTTGGATGGATCACAAGGAGAAGCCATATGAAGCTTGATTGATTCAAAGGTTTCTTCCCATGAGGAGCATTTTTTGTCAAAGATCTTCTTCTAAAACCAAATTCCCTTTGGTACTTGACAATGTTGATCCAAAGAATCCAAGCTTTTCCTTCGACACCGTGACTGCTTAAGCAACCGTATATGTTACTTCTAGCTTTAGCACTGAAACTAATGGCCTAATCTCTTACAGATAACTTAAGAGATACCTCCCAGAAGCTTTACATAGGAGCTGGGAGTTCATAGAATTTAGGATATGGATACCATATCATCCACTAAGAGTTGACCGAATAATCAGATAGTGAAGTTGTTATCTTAGATGTTGTAATGGCTAACAAGGGCTTTAACCTTGTCTTTTTCAGTTTTATTGTTTCGGTTATTATTTTCTTGTTTTCGTGAGGAACAGGCTTGTTAGTCAGTTGTTGACTTGTGGCGGATTCTCTTCGTCGTTTTTTATAGCTGTTATTGTAGTTAGTTAGGTGGCTGGACTTATCTCCTATAAATTGGGGGTCTTTCCAAAGGTGCAAGGCAAATTTCAGAAAACTAATGAAGATTTCTACGCCTTTGTTACCGAATTACATCTAAGACATCTATGAGGTGTCAACTTCAAAGTAGGTAACTAGAATTATAAATATTCTACGAGTTTTCAATATCAACTGTTGAGGGCTTCTGCGAGATCCCACATCTGTTTTTATAAGGGTGTGGAAACCTCTCTCTAGTAGATGCGTTTTAAAACCTTGAGAGGAAACTCGGAAGGGAAAGCCCAAAGAGGACAATATCTGCTAGTGGTGGGGCTTGGACCGTTACTAACTTCATAGTAATCCTTATATTAGTTTTGCCTTGGACACCAACAATGATAGAGAAGATCACATATTCAAATTTAATCAATATCTGTATCCCTATATCCTCTTATTGCCTACTCTTTTGACTTCTACATGATGTTATCATTTTCATAGTGCTTAAATGAATCCATCTTTTGCATTAGAAAAATTACTTGCCCAGATTTATGAACCTTTGATTACTCCATCACAGGCTCATTATGCACCCAGAAGTTTCTTTGGTGTGGAGGACTTCGTCGACGATGATAATAGTCGGCCATACACATACCAAAAGGGGAAGAAATCCAAAAATCCAAAAAAGCACATATCATTCAAACAACGGACGGTAGCCTACATGGAACCATTTACACTCGACGTGTTCATCTCGAAGCGGTTTGTTTCAGCATCGCTCACGCACAGGGTGACTTGTAAACAAGTTGCAGTTGCAGGTACGAACTCGAAAGATATCAAAGCTGTTCTTCAGTCTCGTTCGGACATTCCTGCTTGTTTGGCCGTAGGCCGAATTTTATCTGAGAGGGCTAAAGAAGCTGATGTTTATACTGCTAGTTACACTCCTAGAGAGAGGGATAAATTTGAAGGCAAAATAAGAGCTGTGGTTCAGTCTCTTATTGATAATGGGATTGATGTAAAAATCTACCTGGAGTAAACAACCAATTATCCTTTTGAAATAACACTTTGGATTCTTCATTAATGCTCTTCTGAATCTTCTATTTAGGTGTGTTATTATATCAAGGTTTCGATACCGTGTGGTTTGTAGCGTTTGTTTCTGAACATCCAAGGCGAATGCTCGAATTTTAACGATGAAAACTTAATAACTTAAAATCCTCGCACTCTTAGCGAAACCTCTCTAGAGATCAGTAAAGGTATGGGATTTACGCCAATTTTGCGCGTTAGAATCCTATTTTGATATATGTACTTGTCAGTGTATTTTTAATAAATCTTAAATTTAGTAATTTAATTTTTTTAAAAAAATTTATTTAATTTTTCATAACATTAAATGACACTGTGGATGTATTTTTCAAAAGTTATAAACAAAAGATATTTTAATCAATATTTTATAAATTTTTAAGAAAATATTTTGTAAATAAATTATTAAAATAAGGTAATAAGGTAAAATATATTGAATTTTAAAAATTATTTAAAATTTTTTATCTAATAAATTTTATAATTTTGTATGGTTAAATCTTCATTCTATTTTACATTTTTTAAAATTTATGAATAACTATTTAATAGATAAATTATTTTTTAATATTTTATAAAAATCTATTAATGACGTAATTGAAAGTTAAAAAGAATATTGAATATATTAGGTTTTTAAAAGTTGGAAGAATATAATAATTCCCTCTTTTCTTTTCTCCGACAGATTTAGTTGCATTGAAAAGCAATCGACGGAACACGAAATCCCCATCTCTCTTGATCGTTCATCGTTTCCAGATTATTGGTTCTCTTCTCAGATCGCTCTCTATTTTCGTCGGCTTCCCAGGTACTTGCTAGCGTCTCTTATCTCTATCTGCGAGTTTTTGTTGATCTTTGTTAGCTTGCCGAGAGAGAGAGAGAGAGAGTGGGGGTAATGAGATGGAGCTGGAATTGCCTGATGTTTGGTGTTTCGTTGCGGGAAATGGGAGTTGTATGTTTGGTGTTTTTGGCTTGGTTCTTTGCACGTAACTTCTGGTTCAGAATTTAGGGTTTTGTAATTGTATATATATTTGTTTATGCCAGGGCTTTGTAATTTGGATTAGAGCAAGCTATCGTTGCTCGATAAGTTAGGTTGATTACTTGTAGTTACATATATATTGGGTTCATTTGGCTCGAGAAGAGTACTGTTTTTTTTTTTTTGGGTATTTAGGGCATTAGATTCTAGGCGTGGAGCCTGGCAGCAGTTGTTTGAAAATTTTTATAAGTTTTTTCCTCTTCTGATTGTCTTTTATTCTTCATTTTTAGCAATTGTAGTTCTTTTCTCTATTTGTAATTTTTATATTTTTTTGTTTTTTATGGTCTATTTTCCTCTAGAATGAAGCCTTCTTCTTCATGTGTGAACATTTATCTGCTGTCTCTACTGTAAAGATATAGCTTCCAAAATTTTTCTTCCTTTGATAGAAGTGGACTAGGAACCATCAATGGTGAAAGAAAGTACTTCTCTTATTATTTCCACTGAAATGTTCCATGATTTTTCTATTAAGAGGCAAAAGAAAGCTCACCTTGACAGAGCGACTGTTGGAATCCAAACAACTGCTAGTCTCGTTAGTTCTTCTATTAGCAACCCCCTCTTCGGAAATCTCTTGAAACACCTGAAGCAACCTTTTAGAATATATATATATATATAAAAGGCAAGGCGCTACTATGAGAATGAATTGGACTAGAAGGCGTTAAACCTGGAAATTTTAGGCATACACTATATTAGGAAAAAAAAAAAAAAAAAAAAAGAGAAAGAAGTCTACAGCTTATTTGGGGAATACTGTTTTATGTTGATAGTATGGATATGGCTGATTTTAAGTACTGTTTTTAATGTTGCTTATGGAGGAATCTGTTGGGAGGAGCCTAAGGTAGATTTTTTAAAGCTCAAGATGCACTAAAGCGCAATAGTCCTATAGGGCTGTGCAGTGCATGCTTCTTTATTAGTTTATTATTTATTATTTTTTTAAAACTTTTTTTTGGCAAGCATGCTGTGTTTAAGTTACACTAAATATATTTGTAGATGTACATATACATAATAGTAAACATCCAATGAGGGTTATCGTTTAGCTGCTATGTAGATTCGCTGCTATTTCTATGTATAAAAAAATACATTAACGCAGAGCCTTGGGGGAAGAACTTTACTGGGAAAATTGGAATTCTTTGGAAATTTGCAGCAAGGGTTATCGGATGGCTGTTATGGAAGGGGCATAATCAAAGAAGCTTTTAAAATAGGACATCTTCTTTGGATAGACTTTGAGACTATGTAAAGCAACAACTATTTGGTGGTGCTCAAACCACACAAAATTCTTTTTTAGCCTCCTCAAGATAACAAATTATTGGCAGTCCTTGATTGCTTAGTTTCTTTCTAGGTGTGGTCATCTACTCCTTGGCCCCTAGGATGCACGCTAAAAATAACAATAATAAAAATTCAAGGTTTATCAAAGAAGCAGTACGAAGAACTTAGAAATGCAAAGAAGAACCGCAAATGAGTATTGTCACAAACCCTTGTTGCATTGTTTAAGTACTGCTGCCATTGGGAAACCGCAAATAAATACTAGGTTTTTGCTTAGGATTTTTTTTTTCCTAAAAGAAAAATAAAAATTATAGAGAAGCTTTTGAGACGTGCACCTTTGCTAGGCCTCAAGAACTAGCACCTCTCTCTCTAACCATAGGTAAGGCGCACACCTCCTTAAGAATAGGCAAGGCACTCACCTTCCTAATGCAAAGAATTGAAGAAGAAATGAAAAGAAAAAAATGTGAAGGAGATAGAGAGAAGAGGTCTACCGTGAATGGGTATCGCTTCAAACCCTTGTTGTGTTTAAGTACGGCCAAGGGGGGATTGGAAAAAACGCAAGGGTTTTGTATTTAGGGATATTTATTCTAATAAAATAAAGTAATTAAGAAGCCATTTGAGGTTAGAGCCTCAAGAGAACACATCTCCCTGATGCCAAGATCTAGAGAAGAAATGAGAAGAAATAATGTAACGGAGATGGAGGAGAGGTCTACCGTGAATGGGTATTGCCACAAGCCCTTGTTGTGTTGTATAAGTATGACTACCAATGGGTATCACACCCATAAGGGGATTATGGGCATGAAAAAAATAAAAGCAAGGATTTTTGCATCTAGGGATATTTTTCTTAAAAAAAAAAAAGGTTAAATGTAACCGCCCAAGCCCACCAACGCTAGCAGATATTGTCCTTTTTGGGCTTTCCCTCAAGGTTTTAAAACGCATTTGCTAGAGAGAGGTTTCCACACCCTTATATGCAATGTTTCGTTTTCCTTTCCAACCGATATGGGATCTCACAATCTACCCCCTTGGGGACCCAACTTCCTTGCTGGCACACCGCCCGGTGTCTGGCTCTGATACCATCTATAACAGCCCAAGTTTACTGCTAGCGGATATTGTCCTCTTTGAGCTTTCCCTTCTAGGCTTCCCCTCAAGGTTTTAAAACATGTCTACTATGGAGAGGGTCTAGCCCTACTCCGACCAGTGCCTCGCACGGTTCGGTGACTAGCTCTGATACCATTTGTAATAGCCCAAGCCCACCACTAGCAGATATTGTTTTCTTTGGGCTTTCCCTCAAGGTTTTAAAACGCGTCTACTAGGGAGAGGTTTCCACACCCTTATAAGCAATGCTTCGTTCCCGTCTCCAACCGATGTGAGATCTCTCAAATGTGTGTCAGAGGTCCGAATAACTATGGCCTATCTCCATAGTAGACGTGTTTTAAAAGCTTGAGGGGAAGTCCAGATGGCATAACTCAAAGAAGACCATATTCGCTAGCGGTGGGGTTGGGCTGTTATATTAAAATAATTCGGAAATGCCAAGGCGCTAATGTTACGCCTCTTGAAGTACATGCCGCAAGGGAGCTTTTAAAGAGATAAAAGTTTATGACGTTGAAAGAGGCCTTCGATAAGTCAGCTAAATTTGGAAATGCCATTTATCTCATACTACTCTTTCGATGCATAGCCGAATGGTTTAGAAAGAAAAAAAAAAAAAAAAAAAAAAAAAAAATCT